AGCAGCAGCAGCAGCAACAACAACAACAACAACAACAACAACAACAACAACAACAACAACAACAACAACAACAACAATCAAGTCCTTCTTATTCCGAAAGTCCTCCTCCTTATTCCGGATAATATTTTCTAAAAAAGGTTGATTAGTTTGAGAGAAATAGACGTTTATGTAAAGTCGGTTCTGCTGTGTTGTGTGTCTGCTTATTTCTTTATCTCTTTTTGCCTACAATTAATGTAAAATGTTTCATGAGCTATTACCAATTGATGTTATGACCCTTTTGTAAGAAGTCTAGTTTTCTTTTCATTGTTTATTTATATCTGCGAGAGAATAAACCTTGAGTATTCGAGGCGTGTGCATAAGTGTGCCACAAGAATAAAATAAAACCAATTACCAAGCAAAAAGGTGAATCTATGTATACCTTGAAACTAATTCATCGCTTCATTATAAAAACATGTTGCGGTTAAAGTTAAATCAACAAGATCTGCTTAGCAATCCTAACATATGGTTCACACTAAGTGATTTTGACCAATAGGAACTATCTATGCCGCGGCATAGTCTCCTGAGATTGGAACTAAGAAATAATATCGCCAAATAGTTATTATCGTCGAGAAATTGACAAAAGTCAGACTCATCCATCCCGAATCTTTGCAAAGCATTGGTAAAATCGATTCTCTCATATTGCGTATGTCGTTGCATTCTAGTTTGTTCGTGTATGGTACAATTATTTTATTATTTTGGTTGAGTCAAGAAAGAACGATAAACTGAACAAGATTAACTTCTGAGCCTCGGTATTATATCCGCTTATAGTAAGTTTGTCTCGAAAACTACGTCTGCCCAACTATCCAAACGCATGTTTGAACTGTCGACCACTTTTGTGCTAGAATTAATACCTCTTTGCTTTGTCCTCACATTCAATAATTCGTAGCCTCTTCAATTCGTTGCAAGTCTTTAACTCGACTTTATCAACTTCGGATACAGTCATTCGAACTTTGTAAGTAATGAATTTATTTTATTCTTATTCTCATATGTTAGTCACGTGTATTAATTGCAAACGCAACAGAAAACTGTGTATTCGTCGTGGTCCATCTAGTGTACGGAAGTAGTAATGAATACTATTCATGACATATCTAATGGACAAGAGCCATATCCCGTTAGTTTAGTGTGCGATAATATTAATGAACTGGAAGAATCAAAACGAGAGCATCAAAAAGTAATATAAGTATGTGAAAAAGCCGTGTTGATAGTAACGGCTGGTTAACTGGTTTCGTCATAAAGAAAACCTTTAGTAATATGTAAAAATATCTTTCATAGTACGTCCGACATTCCATTCTGTCAAATGGAACACCATTGCCTCCATATTATGATGGATGTGATTGCACCGACAACTGCCAATCCGAGAATTGCGGATGCAAGGCAACTCACGGTAAGAAGCCACATCTTTATTACTCAATATACGAAGTACAGTAATATTATTTTCAGGCTAATGGTGAATTATTTCTCGCTTGTGAAATATAGGCTTTTTCTACGATAGCCAATCCTTACGAACACTAAATCCGATTTTTCTTTCACCGTCTCGCAATCTTCCGGCTCACTCTACTCCAAGGTCGCTTCACATTTACGAATGCAACCAATCCTGCACCTGCACTCTTTCTTGTCCTAACAGATTGACCCAAAGAGGTCTCACGACACCTCTGGAAGTATTTTCTACTGGTGCGCGGGGATGGGGCGTTCGTGCTGTGGAAAAGATTGTCAAAGGGCAGTTTGTATGCGAATATGCCGGTGAGATTATTAACACCGAAAAGGCAAGGACCATATGGAAAACAAATACAGAAGGCAAGAAGAAAAATTACATTTTTTGCTTAAGGGAGATCTTGTGAGTTGTTCAATTTGCGTCATGGAAAATGAATAGACTGCAAAAGGACTGTTTTCGCTTATCTACTGATTATGCTTCAAACATAAAAAGGCATGACCGTATTCAGCGAACGGTAAATTTCCTTCACCTATATCTTTGTGTATAACTCCATTTCATCCCCTCATTACGGTTTGTCTAATTTTTTTTAGAACATCGACGCTACAACTTTTGGTAATGTCGCGAGATATTTCAATCATTCATGCGAGCCCAACATGCAAATCCACATAATTCGCGTCGACTCGATCATTCCTGTTATTGGCTTCTTTGCCAATAGAGATGTTCTTCCAGGCGAAGAGTTGTGTTTCGATTATGGAGGTGAAGGATATGTTAGAGATGTACAAGAGAGAATGAAGGAAGAAACGAAGAACAAAAATGTGGCTTTAACCAAATGTTTATGTGGGAGCGAGAAATGTAAAGGGTTCTTGCCATTCGACGAATTTTTGTAAAAGGAGTTTAAATTAGAAATGAATCCATTTTCAAAGTAAAGATAGTTTTCACAACAT